TCAAAGAGCTGTGTCTATCGCTGTGACAACCAGACCCGCTGTGTCCCTGAATCTTTCCGCTGTGATGGGGAGAAAGACTGTCTGGATGGTACTGATGAGCTGGGCTGTGGTGAGTCGACACTCATGGTATATGAATGGGGAATTTGATCACTGTGGGAAATTCAGTGATGGGTACCTGAATTGTGTAGAGGAGTGGTTCTCAACTGGTGGGTAGTGACCCAAAAGTGGATCCTAGAATCGTTCTTATTTGGTCATGGATTTTATGGCTTAAGTTTTCGAATGTTAGTTTTGGTAATGTCATGCTTTACCCATCATTTGTGACCATAAGTCATCCTGGAAATGTTTTTTTCTTTTCCTACTGCCAACACCATATCCCCCCCGCCGCCCGAATGAATGACATGTTTGGTCGTGACTTAATGACTGAGATGACTGAGGAATGTTGTACTGAGGTTACGGCAGTTGAGAACCACTGGTATAGTGCATTATCTGGGTCTTACAGAAATATTTGTACTTGGTCAGATTTTGATCTTCTGCTGTTACCTACAGGTTTGAATACACATCCTACTTGGGTCCCTGTTCCAACCCTTGCCACTACTGAGAAGGTCCCCAGCTGTAAAAGTCCATCTGTATTTTGTCAAGGGACCTTACTTTGCGTGACCCCAAATCAGCTCTGTGACGGGAACCTGGACTGTCCAGATGGGTCGGATGAGGAATTCTGCCTCAAGGCTTGTAAAGACCAAGGTAACAAATTTCTGCTTGAGCACAATAGTTCGTCATGAAGTTCCTGCTCAAAGCAGTCTGTCTCCATCAGCGGACTTCCTGTGCAAGGACAGGCGGAAGTGTGTCTCCATGGCGCTGGTGTGCGATGGCCATATTCACTGTTATGATGGCTCTGATGAGGTGGGATGTCCCACGGCAGAGGTGGGTGTCCCACGAGTGACCCCGCTGAAGTGCTGGTTCGGCTCCCAGCTGTGCCAGGATGGCAGCGCGTGTGTCCTGTACATCCACTTGTGTGATGGACAGCTGGACTGCAAGGATGGGTCTGATGAGGATGGGTGTCCTGTACAGTGCCACACGGGTGCGTAACTCATGCTGTCATGACAGTGGATTGCTAATAAGTCATTTAGCCAAAACCGCATGGGGCCATTGAGCTTAACCATGTTTTATGGTGTGTTGTCATACTCATACAGGGCAGTTTCAGTGTGCCCATGGGAAGAAGTGTATTGATATGGGGCAAGTGTGTGATGGAGTGGCACAGTGCCAGGACAGATCAGATGAATTGGAATGCTGGAAGCCGTCAAAGAGCTGTGTCTATCGCTGTGACAACCAGACCCGCTGTGTCCCTGAATCTTTTCGCTGTGATGGGGAGAAGGACTGTCTGGATGGTACTGATGAGCTGGGCTGTGGTGAGGCCTGTTTTATATTGGTCAAATTGCTAGTGATTTAGACCTTATTGCTAGTCCTTTAACACTTGTACCAGAATTAACGCCAAATCTGTTTTGCAGAATCTATGGACTCTGTTACTCTTCTGGCTCAATATTCTGATTCTGTCACCACGGCAGTGCCAACAAGTTGTACAAGTCCTTCCGTTTTGTGTCAGGAGACATCCTTGTGCCTGTCCCCTAAGCAGATATGTGATGGGAAATTGGACTGTCCCGATGGTTCAGATGAGAAGGTTTGCATTGAGCAGTGTCCTGACACAGGTAGGCTCTGCTTGTTACTGTACTTGAATATTCGTCATACAGGTTTCTGAATATTCATTCATTCCCACAGAGTTCTCCTGCCAGGATGGACAGACTTGCATATTAAAAACCCTAGTGTGTGATGGACATGCTGACTGCCCCGATGGTTCTGATGAAAATCGTTGTCTTGGACGTCCTCCATGTATTCAGTACTGTGACAGAGGGACCCGATGTCTGACTAGTCGGCAATATTGTGATGGCGTTGCAGACTGCCAGGATGGGTCGGACGAGATGAACTGCTGTGAGTGAAGTTGCCTCCACTACAAAGAACGTAGAGGTCCTTGCAGGTTTAACTAATGGATGATTCTTCTCTAGCAATTAAAGCAGACTCTGTCCCAGAGAAAAAGACCCGGCAGTGCCGTGTGGGCTTCAGATCGTGCCGGGATGGCAGCGCGTGTGTCTTGAACAGCCACCTGTGTGATGGACAGCTGGACTGTGAGGATGGATCAGATGAGGATGGGTGTCCTGTACAGTGCCGTACAGGTGGGGTTCTCTGTTTGCTTTGGGTGGTATGACTTCCTAACCTGCATCAGGACAATTCTTGTTGCAATTGTTTCAACAGGATATTGCCCATCTAAATTACATTGACTATAGGCTTTAGAGTTTCTTCTTCTCAACAGGGCAGTTTCAGTGTGCCCATGGGAAGAAGTGTATTGATATGGGCCAGGTTTGTGATGGGGTGGCACAGTGCCAGGACCGATCAGATGAATCGGACTGTTGGAAGCCATCAAAGAGCTGTGCCCATCGTTGTGACAACAAGACCCGCTGTGTCCCTGAATCTTTCCGCTGTGATGGGGAGAAGGACTGTCTGGATGGTACTGATGAACTGGGCTGTGGTGAGTGCCCCTTCTCTATGGCAGACAGTCCAGGTTTTTGTTCCTACCTGGACCGTCTGGGGGGTCCCCAAAAACCAGGTTGGAACCTGGTTTATGGAACCGCATAGAAATTGCACATCTGGCTCTTTTTGGTCACAGGTGTGGAGGATTGCAGCCATAGGACATTCCGTTGCCGCAGTGGCCAATGTGTTTCAGAAGGCATGCGCTGTGATGGCTATGCAGACTGCCGTGACCACTCTGATGAAGAGGGGTGTCCCAAACCCCCACTCTGCTCCTCAAACCAGCGCTGTCCAAATAGCCATGAGTGTCTCCCGAAGGAGTGGATCTGTGATGGTGATGAAGACTGTGAAGATGGAGCAGATGAGGCAGTAAGTGCTGTTGATATTGCTATTCTTGGATCCTGCTGTGATTCATTGCAAGATCATTTCTGAAATGGTTTTGTTAGTTCAGGTCAATTTTTAGGTTTGACTTGCATATGATCTAATTGACTGCCACATTTATGCACTATTCAGAACTGCAAAGCTTATCCAGTGAAATGTGGGGCATTCCAGTGGATGTGTGCTTCAAAGACCCAGTGTATTCCCATGTCCTGGAGGTGTGATGGGGTGAAGGACTGCAGTGATGGTAGTGATGAAGCTGAATGTGAGTTTGGCATTGTGGAAATGTGCCACTTCTGTTTTCCCCATCGCTTAATGTAAAGTTGCTTCACCATTTTTAGTGTCCCCCCCCCCCCCCCCCACTGGGTAGCTATAGGATTTTGACTGCAATACTGCACACATACACTGCCATTTTGTAACTTTAGTGTTTGTCCAGGTGGGCAGAAGTGTTACCCTTACCAGTTCGCATGTGGGACTGGAGAGTGCCTGGATCTGGCCCTCGTGTGCAATGGAGTTAACAATTGTCTGGATGGCTCTGATGAAGGAAAGACTTGCCTCACTGACACGTGTTCTGGCCCTTCCCGGCCCCCATGCACAGACATCTGTTACAGCACGCCCCAAGGCACGGTGGGTAATCTTGATGGGAGGATATTACCCAATTAGGAGTTTTATGCTAAACTGTCAGTCTGAGTTTGCCTGTCCAAGTGGTGTCTCAATAGGAGCACAGCTAATCTCCCTGCCCGTCTGCTTTTCTCATACCAGCGCTGTGGTTGCAAGCCAGGTTTCCAGCTTCAGTCTGATGGTCTGTCCTGTACAGACGTCAATGAATGCCAGCAGAACTCTCCGATCTGCGGTCACACCTGTCTTAACACGCGGGGCTCCTACCTGTGTCTCTGCTACCCAGGATACTCCCTGGAGCCTGATCGCCACCGTTGCAAGGCCAAAGGTGCTGGCTGCCTGCTGCTTAAGTGTATAAAGTTTGTCCTCAATCCAGTCCGCGGGGACCCGCTGATGGTCCGCGTTTTTTGGAGCCAAGATGGAGCAAAAATGTGGACCAGCTATGGGTCTCTGAGGACTGGGTTGGATAAACTTCTCTATAGGCTAAAATGATTTTTGTTGGAATCAGGGCAACCTGCAGCGTCCATTATCTTAAATGTTTGTGTAGGTTTTTTTTTTTAGCTGGCTTGCTTTATTTCAAGTGCTTTACAGCTTGTAATTCAAGTATCTGACATTTCTACATCTTAAATGCTTCAAAAATGATTGCTTGGAACCTGCTGGACTTGTTTTTACAGCCAGGCTTCTTGCTACCCTCGTGGTTTAAGATGTCATCCACACACATAAAATTTCTTTTTAAAAATCTTGTCATGCCTCTAGTGCAGATCAGCAGGTATGCTGTATAAAGGACAGTGCAGTGATGTTAACTTGGTGTCCGAATTGCATTTAGAAAATGCCCTCATGAACCTGTACAACACTTGCCTCTGCTTGACCAGATGAGCCAGTCTTGTTGGTGTCATGCCGATCTGAACTCCTTCTCATTGGACTCCGGAGTGGTAACGTAGAAGTCCTCCTGTCTTCCAAGACCCCAATTTTCTCAGTGGATTATGACTGGAAGGAAGACAAGGTATTCTGGGTCGGCCTCGAGGAGGAGAGCATCAGGTGGATGTCTCTGGATCAACAGATTAAGGGCTTCTTTATCAAAGGTTTGTGGCATAAGCTTGGAGCAACACAGAAATACCTCTGGGATTAAATTTAGGCATCTTTCGAAATCATGTAACCATGTGTGACCTGACTGATCTCCCTTCCAATGTTTGACATGATTTGAGTTCCAATAATGCATACAAAATTTTCTTTACAGGGGTCAAGCCAGAATGTATTGCTGTTGACTGGATAGGGAGGAACCTTTACTGGATTGATGGAGTAGCAAGTCAGATCTTGGCAGTTCAGCTTGATGGAAATGCCAAGAAACGTCAAGACTGTGCTGTGGTGCTAGATGAGGATTTACAGCAGCCTCAGTCACTGGCACTGCATCCAACAATGGGGTAAGAATCAAACGCTGCCTGTTTTTCAGGTGCAGTTAATCCTGTTCCACCTACCTCTGATTTTACTGAAATAGATCCTACTACCATTCTTAAAATGCTGGTTGAACAATGATTTTGGTAAGTGTTGGGGAGGTTGAGTTTGGGAGTCTCTTAGCTAAATTGACTCATAGATATGATGACCCTTAGCCCCCAAAGTGCTCCAAGGGTGCCATATATATGACTGACCCTCAATCTAGGTTCTTGCCTGTATATGCATCTCAAAATTAGATCAAGATGGGGTGAACAAAACCACAAAAAATCCAATGTACTTGTACAAACTGCAAATAAAGCATTTTAATTTCCTTTTTTGTCACTTGTGGCAGTTTGATGTTTTGGTCAGAGTTTGGTGCTGCACCACAGATAGAACGTTCTGGAATGGATGGATCTGAGAGGAAGGTTGTGGTCAGTAGTGGTGTTAGTTGGCCTGGCAGCTTGGCTGTGGACATGCTTGAGAAACGGATCTACTGGACCGATGAGAAGCTGAAGTGCATTGGGTCTGCTACATTGGATGGTGAGAATATCAAGGTATGGGGCAACAGTTCTGGGGTCACAGTGGACTACCTCACGATTGAACTAAACACATAGGAAGTAGGAGTTTTGTTTGATTAATCTATAATGGATTTTTTTCCCAAAACCTTAAGATCTTGCAGCTGACTGAGACTCCCAGCCCACTCTCAGTGGGAGTCTTTAATGAGTTGATGATCTGGTCAGATGCTAAAAGACAGACTGTCCAAATGGCCCACAAGCTCACAGGAAAGAACCGCAAGGTTGTGTTGAAGCAATCCCACCAGCCCTTTGAACTCAAGGTGAGCTCTGGTTCATGATGAATTCCTCAAAGCCAGTCTGTCACATTGCAGAAGAGATTTTGTTATGGCTGTGTGTGTGTGTGTGTGTGTGTGTGGAACTCTACATTTTGGTATTCGGGTGCTTGGCCTGGATACCTGGACACTACCTCAGCCATGTGCTCTACAGGTGATGCATGCCTTGCAGCAGGTGAGTGTGCCCACTCCCTGTTCCAAGCTGCACTGCTCCCACCTCTGCCTGCTGGGCTCGGGGCCTAAGGGTGTGTGTCGCTGTCCTGTGGGACTCCTGCTGGCTGCAGATGGTGCTACATGCACAGCACCTGAGGACTCTGCCTTCCTCATGCTGTTGTCTCCCAAAACAGTCACCCAGGTACCTATATAAATGACAGGGGGCGCTTGCTTGCCAATTTGTAATATCATTCATGCATCCAGGTATGAGGAGCTTAAAGTACATTATGTTGCTGTTCAAATCAAAGCTTTGCCATGTACTCTACAATGAAACTTAACAGTGAATAACTGAAAGGGATCAGGGCTATCAAATCATAGATTCCTGTATTACTCATCAGGTTTTAGTGTGTATTTCAATCACTTGAACCCACCTGTTGTCTTGGTGGCATTCCAAAGTTACTTACCCCTCCCATCAGATCCCACTGCAAGGCATGCAGAGGCCTCCGGGGCGAATGGCGTGGCCAGAGCACACTGCACTGTCACTGCCAGATGCCAGTGATGCAGCGCTGCTGGACCTGGTGCTCGCGGACCGGACCCTTTATTTGGCAGATGCAGGTCATGCAACAGTTGACGTATTCAAAATGGATAAGGAGAGGCTCCTGCCACGGAGCCCCGCAGTCCGTCTGCCAGCAGGGGACAGTGTGACCTCACTGGCAGTGGACTGGATCACCCTCAGCCTGTATTGGAGCAGCAGCCAGCAGCCTCGTATTCATGTGACCTCTGCCCAAAACCGCCACACCATCACACTGCTTGCTGACAACCTGGAAGCACCCAGTGCCATCACACTGCACCCCCCAGCTGGCTGGCTCTGTTTCGCCGACCTGGGCCTACCTGGAAGCAGGAGGCAACCCCAAATAGAATGTGCCTTTATGGATGGCCGGAACAGGACCCTCACCTGGGGCAAAGCAGTGACGCCAACCTCCCTTACATTCTCCCCCCAGGGCTCCGAGCTCTACTGGGCTGATGTTGGTGAGTACTCTGGGAAGGGGCTGTTTAGGATCCTGAATTTTTAATTTCTAAAACCATTATGCTTATTGCGCTCTAATTTCTTTTCAGGCTTGGGAGTTATCAGCTCCATTCAGATAAATGGCACAAGATACAAGGAACACAAAACTGGTGGTGGCCTCATCATGTCCTTTGCTTGCAGTGACAACATGCTCTTCTGGGTCACCGTCAATGGTTCTGTCAAATTTTAACTATGGTGCCATGAGCCCTAATTGTCAGTAGAGGGTGCTGTTAGCTCATGAACAGCAGCAGTGGTTTAGTTAAATTTAGTTCTGCTGCATTTCAGATTTAAGTTACGGGTGATCTGGATGCATGTGTAAATCTTACTAGTTTGCTAAATTTTTATTTTGATCTTACTTGCAGACACGGCGGAAGTTTGGTACAGCGATGGTATCCAGCCGAAACTGTTATGGTTTGAAGTGGAGACTGACGTCATTGCACTGAAAGTCTACAGCAGGTCTAGCCAGAAAGGTGAGTCGACGGCCCTCTGTAGCCATGCCCTGATACTAAAAGAGCCACTTTGTGCTCCTGAGCTGTGGTACGTTTGGCAGTCTGCCAAAAGGTTGGCTGTAAAGGGAAATAGGCTTTATGAATTGTCGATTCATTGTAGGTCTTTTCATGGGTCTCTTAAGTTTGTGGGATCAGTTTTTGGTTCTTTTCTGCTTCAACTTTCCTGAATACTGAGATTAGTGGGGGGGGGGACTCTCCAATTTAACAAAAGCTTCTGGAAGAAGGTACTGTAGAATGTGTATTAGTGCAGTAGTAACTGACAATGCCCATGTCCAGCTACGTCGGGCCACACTTTACACTAAGTCATTTGACACTGATCTTAGGAAACAACTACTGCACCTTTGGGAATGGGGGCTGCCGGCAGCTGTGTCTGCCCTTCCCTAGGGGGCGCACTTGCCGGTGCACCCAGGACCATGCTGTGGACTGTGAGCCCGGCCCACGCTGCCCACCTGGAACTCAGCCCTGCAGGGATGGTTACAAGTGCCTTCCTAGAGTCAAGTTTTGTGATGGGATTCTGGATTGCATGGACCATTCTGATGAGGAGAGCTGTGAGTTCTGCTTCGTGTGTGTGTGTGTGTGCACGTTTTTGCTTCTTACCTCGTGGGGTCACTTTTGGTTTCCCACAACCCTAACCAAACTTATCTTATCATAGTCAGGATCAGTTCAACCCATAGAAATGAAGAGTCCCAATAAAGGTGTGTGGGTTCCCAGGGGAAATCTTCTATGCAGTGATGTCTCAAGCTGATATAAAATCTAGATCAAAACTTGATCTGTTCACTTTCCCACATCCGCCTAATTTACATCAGTTGCTCAGAACATAAGAATCCGTCAGGCTGCAGTAACCCTGAGACACTTTGCTTGAAACTATGAACTATCATGAAGTCAGCTGTGTGGAAATGCTTTTAATTGGGAAGCTGAAAGCAGCCCGACAGCTACCTGTAATGCTTGTAAGTCCATTCTTTTGAGACGAGGTAACACAACAAATCTAATTAGGCACTTGCAGAAACGAGGAGGAATACTGTGAAGCTATGGCTTACTCCGATGAGTGCTGTTATGGATGTTGCGTTGTGGGAACCAAATGTGATTTTAAAACATATTTTGACATTGCAGGAACCTCCTTTTCAGTCCCCCACAAGGGTAAACGATTTTACAAAAATCTAACCTCAATCAGAAATACCAAAAGTCTTGTATTTGGTTTAGTTACTTATGGTTAAGGTTAGGGTGGTCTTAAATATTCAAAACCACCTCAAACTCCTTTTTGACCAACTGGGTTGCTGCTGTGCAGTAAATACCAGTTGCCACTGTGCGCACACTGGCATTTCACTGACACAAGGGACTGATTTGTTACACAGGTTCCAGGGACGATGCCTCCAGTTCATTTAAACGCCTAGACACCGAGTCCTGGGTTACAGAGCATCCCCCAGGCCTCTTCACAAGCCCTGCTCAACCCACACGAGAGAATGATGCTCTCCGAGAGCTGGACTCGCAGTCGTGCGATGCAGAGCTGTGCCACGGTCACGGCCACTGCGTCTATCTCACTGGGGAGACCAGGTGCTACTGCATCTCTGGTTATGGTGGTCCATTCTGCGAGAACAAGCTTGGTGGATCCGCTGCGGTCCTGGTCACCCTGGGTGTTGTCGCCGTCTTAGTCGGCGTTTTCGGAGTCGCATTATTCATCTACAAGAAAAGGTACCTTGGGATTTCTAGGCCAGTTTTACCGTAATTTTGGGGTGAAGGGTCTGGTCTATGTGGCTTATTTTTATAACACTGCTATTTTTAGAGGTGCAATGATTGATAAAACATTAGTGTTAGTTGGTAAGAATTCAGATTAACCGTTCCCGGTACTAATGTAGATGGAGTCCTGAGGTCAAGGTTTCCTTAACATTCTGATCACTTTACCCCACCCAAAGAGTTGTTTACCTGCCTTAATTGTATTTCAAGGCTGAAACTTGCCTGGGCAGTACTTCAGGTGCATCTTGCTTCATCTTATTGTGAAAGTCTTCACATCCCTAGATATTCAGATATTCATATTTACTTCCTGTTTGCATGCTGCATGTCATGATCATGTGACCTGATTGTTTCCCACAGGTCAGCTTGGTTTATAAGGATCCTAAGAGTGGGCAAATCCAGTGAGAAGGAGAACCTCATGTCAAGCATAGAGGCACGTTTGGCCTACTCTCAGTGCTTCTCCAATGATCTGTATGATCCAGACGAGGTAGGCCCCAAATGTCCAAGGTGCTCAAACTTGGCGGCTTTTTCCTTCCAAGGGGCCGGTGTGGTTAAGGAATTTGTACAGCCTAGTTAATGTCAGTTGATTGTGACCACCACCCTCCATTTTATGCAGTCACTCATGTAGTTGTGAGAAACTGACTATAATTTCTCTTTCAGGATTTGGCCATTTCAGACTAAAGGACTGTCACCTGGTTTGCTCACATGATTTGGGAAATAAAGCCTGTTGTCACTAAGCTCTTGTGGTGGAGTTTGTTCCATTAACAGACCCCAGACATATTGGGGTATCCTGCAGGGGTTGTGAACAATAGGGTAAAATCAGGCTAAAGGCTCATAGCATAGTTTACTCACCTTTTTATGATTGTTTACTCACTTATGCATTTAAAAAATTCTCCCCTCTCCCGCTTCACTCGATGACAGTCAGTGCTAACAAGCAGGCTAATCAATGACAGTCCTGCAGCGTGCATGGGGAGCAGTGGGCATCAGACTGTTTGCAATTGCTAACATCCCAAAAAACTGCAAATGAAGGTTGAAAATGGTAAACGGTGTGTTTATTTTTCATTTAAGCTCACAGTTCTGGAGTACTGTAGCCAGCAGAATGTTTAGCTGGCTAATAGACAACATTAAATAGGCAGCTGATATGAATCTGTGTAAAGGCATTTCCATTTCTGCAAGCTGGACATAAACATATCCATTTCCACATGATTTGGTGTCAGTGGTACCACAGACCTGCGTAGATGTTAGGTGGCTTATACACCCTTTAACTGCATAAGGGTGTGTCCACAGGTATGTATAGTTTACCCACTGCATTGCATTTTTTTAAGTGCTGTCAAACTATATACAAATTTTTAATCAGATTAATCACAGGGTTGTTGTGGATTAATTTAGATTAATCACGATTAAATATCATTCATTTTTAATCTATATTAATCACAATTCATTTTGCATGAGCAAACACTCAAGAAAAAAGGGAATATATATGCACTTAACATGTTTATTGAACATCTTGAACACGAGTCGGATGCATTACATCTGCCACAGAAGTGCAATACCATGGACCCATATCAAAAAGCAAGATTTTTTGCTTAGCCGGACAACTTGTCATATTTAAGGTACCTCAGTTTAAATGGTCTTTATCTTTGTTCACTTACAATTAGCCCGAACTACCATAAATCCAACAAATAATCTGACTAATCATGAAATCCAATTCTAACCCGGATAATTGCCATTGTTAGCAATATCAGTTGATAACACATTACGCGCGGTGCTTTACGTATAAAACTCCGTAGCAACACGTCCACAGATAAGTTGGATGGTAGTGTGTGCAACCGATTTAATGAGCCACAAATGAGAAGTAGTGCTTAAACAGTATAAAACTACAAGTTTCCCTTCTGCCAACTCAGATTCTGAACTCGGGATCCTCTGTGCTGCTCCGAGAAACGGGAGCGTGCATGTCGTCACTTCTGGCTTCAAAACTCCGTAATACGAGTTCCCAGGGCAAATGGAATGCACCAAAACTGCCCGAAATGGGTTGACAGAGACATTTCAGGGATTTTGTCATTCTGCGCTGCAGATGGGTTAATTGCATTAAAAATTTTAATCAAATTAATCATGATGATGGATTAATCTGCGTTAACCCATTAATTTTGACAGCCCTAATTTTTTTTTATTGCATTTCACAAAGGATTTATCGGGGGGTGGGGCTGTTGTGCAGCTAAAGTGCACATATTTGGACTCGTTTACAGTTAGGCAACTACTGGCCTGCTGTCCGTTGTTTAATTCTGACTCCAGATGGAACGGCTACTCTTAAGATTTTGTTTTGTATGAAGAGTAATTAAGTCCATTGCCTTCCACTGCCGTGAGCATCTCACATTCCCTTAACTTTCTTTTGACATGCCTTTTTTTGGAAATGTGCCCTGTGTTTTGAAAACGGAAGTGGCACGTTAAACTGGTTTTTCTGCTTTTACGCAAGTGCATTTTTATGGTGGTGGTGGTGGTGGGGCTTGTAGATGTGGGTGAATGCACAGGTGAGGGGCTGCTTGTCATTATGACCTAATTAGGCTTCCTGTAGATCCAGGGTGACTGTGCCGCATGAAACACTTTCCTCTGTTTCCTGAGGTGGTGAAAATGCTGAGAAGAATGTAGATCAGGGCTTCTGGCGTTTCCCTGCTGGCTTAGCTGACACAAAACAAAACTGAAGCGTAATGGGTGACACAATGGCCTGTGGGTAGTTAGGGACTGGACCCGATGGCCTTGTTGATTACATTGCAGTAGCAAAAAGAGTGACAATACAGAACTTCTCACCATCGATTTCATAGCGACTGGAAGTCAGTTGGGCCCTAGGACTGGTCTTCAGTTTGCTGGTGGTGTCTTAAATCCCCCTGATTCCCAAAGTCCAAATTTTGTCAACCATGCAAAGTCTAGGTGTGTGGGGGAGGTTCCCCTCACTGGATTTTACCTGGAGGGGGTCAATTGCATGGCTCTGTTTATACTGTTTTGGTCCAAATGTGGACTGCAGTCTCCCATTTCAGTATGCCATGCGTAACCATGTCAGCAGGATCTAAATTTCCCTTGCTGAGTGGAGAGCATAAACCTGGGTAGTTCCCCTCTTCTCTGTCCTCCCTGTTGTACAATTTGTGGAAAGAAGAATCTGTACCAGACTCTTCTGCTGCATCTTATCTGTATTCCAGTTACTAGTGTACAATGTCCATCATGGAACATCTTGGGTTTTGTCTATCCTTGATTAAGTGCATTTTAGTTTAATTTTTCAGGCTCACTTGCAGGTGTTAATTGGATATTTATAACGTTACATTTGTTTAATAGCATCTCTTTTTGCTCTCCTTTAAGATCTGCATGTGTACACATAGGTGTGAGTGAAGTTTGGGGATAGATCACAAGATCAGCCATTTCTCCAACACCCCTGTAGAATCTTTCATGGAGTTAAGAGCCTAAAACAGGGTTATTCAAATCACGGTCCTCGAGGTCCGAGCCCTGCTGGTTTTCCAACCTTCCTTTACTTGTGAGCTGGGTGTGAAGCCTCTGACCAATCAGAATCAGTAATTCTATTAAACTAACTACCTGGGAGAACTGAAAACAAGGCATGGATTTGGAATCGAGGTCCAGATTTGAAGAGCCCTGGCCTAAAAGATGTGACTCTTCTGCCGACGATGGGATTCAACCAGTAACCTTCTGATCTCATGCATGGAGGCTTGACCTGCTACAGTAAGTCACATGGCAACCCCAACACCTGCAGAACACAGGCACAGATCTATAACTGGGAATTGACATAACCAATACGCACATACGCTTTCCCTGTATAAGGGCATGCATGTGGCAATTTGTCATAATAGCTCAAATACATACTTTTGTGCATTTGCACTGTTATGACAAGAATTTACTGTGCATTTTAACCTTCATATGGCAAATGGGTATAATAAAATGCATGGTAATATCTTGTCATAACAGTGCAAATGCACAAAAGTATGCACTGGCATTACAAGAAATTGCCGTGCGTATCACTTTCTCTAGCAAAAGCGTACTTGCATATCAGTTAGGTCAATCCCTCTCTATAACCTTGTGAGCTGTAGATTTCCCCCCGGTGTCCCTATCTATTCACCCGACTTGTCTCGAGACCCAATTTCAGCTGTAGATTTTGCTTCTGTGATTGACACACTGGTGCAAGTTGAAACAAGCTGGGGCAGTTACTGGCTTTGAGCACATTTTAAGGGTGTAGTCTTCAGTTTCCTGACAATCGATCTGCTGCTGCTGTAGGCTGAAACCCTTCCTCTGACTTTCTCAAACTTTTTACCTCGATGAAAGTCGCAAACCGGGCTGCATTCAACTCTCTCTACTAGCCTACAGCCATATCTGTCCAGTGATACATTTGTTTAGTCTTGTTTTCTTGCAGAAGTAAGCATCCCAACATGCTGTAGGAAGCGAGTCATTCTCTGAATCTAATTGTCTAGCCCAGACTCGCTGGCGTTTTGTGGTGCACAGCTGACCTCAAGCACTCGTATCAAGGTGAGTAGTGATTATTCCTGATTTGAAGTGAGGTTGAGCCGGCTGCTTTTTGAGCATGAACCTTGTCTTCTCGTTTTGTCCTCTTTGGAAATGTCGCCTTCATGTTCCTCATTCTGCTCAGTTTGTTTTACCCCTCTGAAGGGTTTATCTCATGCTGCAAATCTCTGCAATCCAAGGCTAGCTAGCAGGTTTTTTTTTCTCTTCAAGCACTGAAGCAGCAATTGAGCGAAAGTTAGTGTTTTTACATTCAAATCTCGCATGGTAAGGTAATGCTTTTTGTTCATTTTTTTGTTTTGTTTTGCTGAGGTTTCTTTATACATTTTTTTCTGGATGAACTTGATTTACGAGTTGGGGACTTCTCAAATTACAGAATGTGAGACTGAAATCAACCTGAAAGGAATTTGTACACAGTTTAGTTTACAAAATGGTGGTCCCATGTACACTTATCCAGTTAAATATTAAGATCATCTCTCTTTTTTGTGCTTTATATGTTTGTATGCATTGTGAGCTTTTGGTAGAGTTTTTCAGACGGCATACAACCCACACAGATCTGATAACCTTCCTCTTTGTTATAACTTATGCATGCTATTAGGGTGTGTGCACTTTTTACTTCTCTTCACAATAGCCTGCATGTCTGGGTGGGGTTTATAAAAGCACCTGCGATGGAGCCTAAGATTCCTATTTATTAATATAAGCAAGATCTATTTGTTATTCAATCAGGGTTCATCCCAAAACCACTCAAGCCTGAACCTCAAGACGCTACATCTGAAAGCCACTGACTCCCCTCTCGCTGAAAAGATAGCATGGCCAACAATACAGGAGCCTTGGTCCCATGCGATAACAAACAGTGCAATGGACACGGCCATTGTTTTCTACTGAATAATGTCATCAGCTGTGAGTGTCGGCTGGGCTATGATGGGAACTTCTGCCAGGACCGTGTCAGCAAGCCCATCGGTGTGGCCCTCACCCTGGGCTTTCTTGGCTGCATTATTGGCATTGTTGCCCTTGCCTTCCTCTTTGCCTTCATCAAGAGAAGGACAAAAGCACATAAAAGGTACCCCATCTGTTTCAAACCCCCTCCTCTTTCTTTAAGGGTAAGCAGGGATGCATCAGGGCCAAATGCGAACCTTAATGTCTAATGATCTACAGCTCCAAGCATTATAGGTTTTGCAACTACAGAAGTCCAGATCTCTCTGCTACTCCATCAATTTCTAGACCATTTAAAGCTAATGTGTTAGTTGGGTGCATTAGACCATTTATACCTTTCCAGTGAATAGTCCTAAAACTGACAGCCAACCCCTAGAATATTGCTCTTTATCTCAGATTAATGTATAAATGAACTGGTGCTGCTGACTGTTAGCTGTATGGTGCTTTCTGCTGTGTCGTGATCAGTGCTTCTCTAGATGGCCTGTTTAAATTCTTAGAATGGGTTGTTTCTGCATTGATTTAGCCATTTCGTAGCAGCCTTTCTGTCAGCGTCTCGTATAACATCCTTCTGTGCTTTTTGCAGAAAAACAGTGACTACTCAGAAAGAGGTCATGATGAGTGAAAGTATAGGTCCTCTCTAGCAGAAAAGTCTGGAGCAGGTAGGTCTTTGGTCTTTGCTGAGCCGCAAGTGAAGGACGTCTTGCACCTTGTTGACTACCTCAAAACTGTGAATGCAATTTCAAATACGATGTAAAATTCCAATATTAAATAAATCCCATTCCATAAATGCATGCAGCTGATTCTAAGGGGAAATGTTTCTTTTTTATGTCTGCCTGGTCCTATTCAAATCTGAGATTTCTGGAGGAGACCGGACCCATCCACCAACAAGGGACATCCTCCTGCTTTCGATGGCTAACGTCATACCCTCTGTATAAACACGAACATCAGTACAACATGCTAAAATTGTCTGACATTATCCTGAGTCACATGTTTCTCATGCTTTGGGCAGGTTTTGTGGGACCTCAGTTATTATAGACTTCCATGTTTTGCATCCGCATTTTTCACCTGTCTGAGCTAAGGTGACGTGTCATCAACAGGACCAGCAGGTTCTGCAGCAGTGCTGAAATTCCGCTTCCTTGAACACCCTAGGAAGTGCCTTCTGAAGGCAAACAATTGTCTGTCTCTACAGGGGCTGGTTTTGGTTTTTACTTCACGCAGGTTTCGGTTGGTGTAGCTCCAGTCCTGCAATAAGGCGGCTGATGTGTAAAGAATTACCACGGTGACCTGACTTTGGTTGACATCTTATAATCCTGCAGTGTTACTCCTTTAATGCTCATTAATGCAGCAATTTTGTACACATAATTCGATGTAACTGGCACCCTCATTTCAAATTTTATTGCAATATTTTGAGGTTTTCACATTTATAAATGGATGTTTGTCTACCCATTGTATTTTAATGAATTTATAGGTGTCAGCTTTCATCACGTAACTTCACAGGACTCTCAACAACACAAAGAAGTCTGGAGATCCAACTCTTAGTGTGTGCTGCTGTCAAGCTCGTCCACTGCACCTCAGATTATTATTATTATGCTCTGTTTCATGCAGGGTAATAGTATAGTTCATGGGAATTTTCTTCTCCACAGTTACGATGGTGTATGTGTGTGGGAGGGTAGGAATAAACATGTTTTGCTAAGTGTGCTGTCGTGTACGTGATATTCTGCCCTCCTGCCTAGTGTCTGATTAAGATGTTTGCTGTCCTGAAGGCTATCAGAACTCTGACCTTACTACAGTCCCACAAACCAGATTTGTCCTGTCATGTCTGCCTGTGCTCTCTCTTCACCATTTCTACATTTTGTGAAATTCCTTTTGAGGTGTTTTTAAAAAAAAGAATTTCTCTTGGACAAAATCCTGTCAACTTTTTTTTTTTTATTGAGGGGGATCCGTTGTGCTGTTTTTTTTTGTAAGGCTAGACAGATATTGTTGGGATAAATAAATTACTTGCTTAAGTGGAGTGATAATAGTAATCAATTACCTAATTACTGCACCTTACTCAGTTTTAAACAGATGGACAATTGAGTACCTGAATTAAGCATAATTGGAACAGATTTCTTTTAAAAAAATTAAAACTACTTTTTATATGGACAAAAATGAATCAAAGTGATGTTTGAAATTTTATTGACAAAATTCCTAGTAATGCATTTATCAAATACTTCTTTGTATTGTAAATCGACCTACAATCAACAACTCAGTCCTTCAGTAATACCGTAAAAAAACAACCTCAGAAATTAGGGGGGCAGCATTAAATTCACCACACATGGCCCCACCCAGAACGGAGACCATGTGGTCAAGGTATTTTACGATACATACAGAGTATGTTGTATGCTTTAACATGAAAGTCAATTAAAAAAACTCCCTTTCGATTAGGCCTATATTACTTTGTACTAATTTAATTCCACTTTCATAACATTACCCTAAAGTGCTTGAATAGTGCATACAACAGTTTTCAAGCGGCTTAATTGTACCACCTAACTACTTGGAGTATAATTCACTGTATAAACATTCGCATCACAAATGTTTGACTATACGTCATAGTCCGGTTCCGCCAGAAGGATGGGCTGTCGGGACGGACATCTTCGTGTTGGTATTCAAGTGTCACGGGTGAATGTCCAAGTCTGGATTTCCGTGTTCAACTTCTCGATGGCTACGATTAGTGTATCCTTGCATTGTGACTCCAGTCCTGTGCGTCGGGTTACACTCCACAGACGTGATCTATCCAGCGTTTCTCCTCGTCCTACAGAAGTTGTAGAAGAAGGCCATTAAACAGGCTCCTCCGATCAACTGAAAACTGCTGCCAATGAATCCCAGCACAATGCAGTAATCTGCATGCAGTTCCGTGCCGCTGCTTTCCATTACTTTCAGCTGACTTGTGTACCAGGCAAGCGGGACGAGCGAAAAAACACCGCCGCAGAACACGGCCACGCCGCCCAGACCCGCGAGCAGGAAGTCTGGCGTGCGGCGCCAGCAGCGAAATCCCAGCACAGTCAGTATCTGAGCAATGCCGGTGAGAACGACCGAGGTTATCATGAGACCTCTGGCCGCTATCACAACTTCCTCGGCGAAGTACTGCGCGTCCTTCTGCTGGCAAGTGAGGCCACCCCCAGGGACCTCAGTACAAATGTCCCAAAGGCCCTGGTGAATAATCGTCTCTAGAGGTACTCCCAGGATCGACCCTACAGCCCTCCAGGCGGGCGCGCCGGTGGCGATCAGGTTGAAGAGCCAGCCCAAAAAGCTGGCCACCACTCCGAGCGCCAGGATACACACGTCTGGCATCGCGATCACAGTACAACGTTCACGAAATTCGCTTCGAAATACTGGGGTTAAGTAATAGGATTCGGTAACAAAAACGGACGAAAACAGCGCAGCTGTCTAGAGGAGATAGATGGGTAACTGACGCCCGCCCCATGGTACAGACAGCTCGGAGTGAAAATGTATAGGGTGTCATGTTTCTTTTATGTTTTTTTCCTTTGACATTCTTGCAGTCAAAGCATCGTACTGGCATGACGTAATTACACACCCCGTTTAATTAGTAAAAAAAACAATATGAATAGCACGCAGCTGACATTTCAGATAATAAGTATACTTGTTAAATCTTTACATGAAAGTAAGTGAAAATGTAGACGAAAACGCTTTTTAACCCGTAAACATTCAAGCAAATGTAGGGGAGAAAAGGTTAAAATGATAAAAAGGGTTAAGGTTTTTCGTTCTAATGAGAATTGCGGAAGGTTATTGATTGAGGAAGCTCAGATCGATATTCAGGATAAAGATCAATTTATTACAGTTCTTAGGAAACCATACAAGAAATACATGTCAATCGCAGACTGAATTACCAATAACTACCAATACACAGGTTTTAAGAAAAATATGTACAAAAAGTTCTTACAATAAATATTTCAATATAGTGCTGCATAGCGAATGAACTGTATGTTATCAAGTGTTAGGCCTGTATTTAGCTAATCTCTCAAACACACATTCAAACGTCTTCTAAGATTCACATATAGCCTACGTCAAGGAAAAACTAACAGCAGCTGTTTAGTGACTATTTGTATAAACTCATAAAATGTGCATTGTGCTGTACAAAACCGATTTTAAAAAAATTGCGTTGTACCAGCCCTTAAACTATCACTGTCGTGCAAAATTCGCAAATAAACAGGGGTGGCCGGAACAGTGTTATTATATATATATAAACCTTTAACGTTTTAAAGCATCAAAACGTACATAATGCACATGGCTCGCGTGGCTTAATATTTTCTGGCATTAATGACCCCGCACCTGAACTTATACAAATATTACAACAATTTGAAAAATATACTTACACCGTAACCTTATACTCACTATATCAGATTGCCATAACTAATAGTACAGTATAACAAACATTTTGATCAATTTCTTTTGCATGTATAAACGGATATAACGTACGTTTTCCACAAGGAATCTGTTTAGAGTGGCCCTTGAACGCCTATGGTACGAGCGTAACACAAAGACGGAGGAAACACATTGTCAGTCTTAATCGCCCCTGAATAAATACTTCCATTATTAAAATTAATTTCAAGCATATTCGTCACCCTGTCGGTTTTCACAAATCAGCGTCGCACATTCTGCTACTGTACGTGGTGTTGATCCTCCCCGGAGTCTTTGCCCGAGGAAAGTCCCGCTCGTACAGAGTGTCTCTGGAGTACGGGACGCTGCTGGCTTCGCTCCTGGTCCTGCTGATGCTGGGCACCTCGATCCTCCGGGGCATGGCCGCTGTGCTGTGGAAGTAAGTGGTTTTGTTGTTCGAACGTCTCTCTCCCCGGTTCCACCCGCCGCAGCAAGAGCACATTCCGATTATCAGGGCTGCTCCGCCGAGAACTTCCATGATGCCGCCGATGAAACCCAGAACAATGCAATATCCCGGTGCAATGCTAGAGGTCACTGATGGGATGGTTGTTATGATGTTCGTGTACCACGAAATGGGAATCAGAGTCATGACACCAGAGAGAAATATAAAAATACCCCCAATTCCTGCGATTATCCAGTTTGGCCGATCTCTCCAGCATCTAACTCCGAATGTGGCCACTGCAATGCCCAGCAGTGTGACCAGCAGAGATGCGATCATCAAGCCCTTGGCGACTGGGATTATCTGTTGGCTGAAGTAAGTTGTGTCTGGCTGGCTACACGTTACCGTGGTGGTAATTGTGGAAGCTCGGCATATATCCCAGATTCCCTGCTGTAGTATCATATCAGTCGCTTGATTCGGAATATTACTGAGTACTCTCCAGTTCGGAGCTGCAGTGCTGATCAGATCCAGCAGCAAGCCGCAGGGAGCAAACACCATCCCAAATATATGTAGACCCGGCGTACGCATGGTGTCCAGCAGCAGTGTCAGGCAAATTAACAACAGGTGCAGGCAGATTCCGACGTAGATGCCAACACATCCTCTCCTCAAAGCTTATGAACTTCTAGGGGGAGGTGCCGTGTGTCGTGGGTAGGCATCATGTGTCGTTTGGAATTTATGCAAGGAGAGTCAGGTTACAAGTCAACTATGTCACACTTTTTATTTAACTTGGGACACCAAACTAGCGAAAATTGTGTGTTTAAGATTAAACCTGACCAAAACAGTCCGCGAAAGTGACATTCATAAAAGTATTTCTAGATGAAATGTTACTATGACTGCCGATAACGTGAGTAAAGCAGTAACATAAGTTAGCGAGAACTTAAAAAATAAAGGTAAAAATATTTAAGTCAAAATTTAAAGGAACCGTTTAAGGAACGTTTCTAAACCTCTCCATTGGCCTGAGTTGCTTGGCATGTTAGGACAGAATGCTAAACCCGTAGTAGCACCGTACAGCAGTGTTAAGCGTAGTGCATATCCTGATCTGCCTGTTATGCAAATATGTGCAGAGGAACCGAAAGTAGTGCATTGTAATCTGATCTGAATAAAAGTATCAACTGGGCAATAAGTGAGTAAGCATCCTTTTTCAAATAAAAGAAGAGCACATTCAGAAACCTATTTCAAGAACTTTCTAGTTACTCGACCCACATTCTCTCCATGAAGTTATTCCGGCCCCAGTGGTGACATAAAGCCATCTAATCGTTTTCAGTGAGTGGGCAATGATCGTGCTCCATTGACTTGAAGCTGAACCTGAAAAAATCTGGTCCTAAAACAGTAGGCGGCATCCAAAGAGGAAAAATGAAGCCTATCATCAATTTTTGGTATACATTACTTTCAAATTCAGTACCAATATTTAGCTTACCCCTATTCCAAACATATGGACTATTGAGTAAGTGAACTAAGCACAATCTGAATAGTGTTTTATATTTTTATAACTTTATACTTTTTATATGCACGAGAATGAATCTCATGGAAGTGATGTTTGAACTTTTTATTGACAGAAAATTCCTGGTACTGCATTGATCAAATGTGTCTTTGTATTCCTGGGTACAACAGCTCAATCCTTCAGTAATACTGGCGGTGCAAACTGTCAATCGTGTTATTAATAAGATAGCAATAGACATGAAGAGCATTTAGGAAGTAATGTAGAAAAGTGAAATTATGCTTTTATTATGTAAAGCACATACTGTATATACTCAAAATAAACCACAGCCAAACATATACCTGGGATGTGTTTTGTGGAGATCTCTCAGGGCTCAAAACGCCTTGGCTTTTCACCACACAGGTACTTAATTGTTGAAGTTGCTGTAGAAATGAAGAATTGTAAGCTATAGTAAATAATATAAAATAGTAATGTAACATTGTGTCTTCTTCATGGCTCGGACAGAAACTTTAAAATCGCCCATTTGAAATGTGGTGTCACAGCAGAATTAGTGAGTGGCCAAAAGCAGTAGATTCATCCAAATATGTGCTTGGCAAATTCATAATGTCTGGCATCCCTGCAAACACCAGAAGATCAGGAAAAGCTTCGATGTGCCAGATGAAACCTGGAAGTTGGTATTCAGGTTCACGTAGACTGAAGATTTCATCTCAGGACATTCTTTGGTTGTTGTATCAGCTTGCAGAAGAATGTCATTGAATACTTGTTTTTGGATGGAATGAATATTTTGTTTTGCTTTGAATATCCATGTTACCTTGGTTCATCGCCCATGTAATATATCAGATACAAACCTGGATTGTCATCTACTAGACAGTTCTTCCTAAAGGCTGAACTTGTTGGACCTTTCTGACCTGCAGATGGTGTTAAGATATAATGCCAATTTGTAGACGATACCTTCTGCAAATACTGGCACAAAAGAAGAAGTCAGCAGCTTTGAAAAAGTTTACTTTCATGGGGGCCGGCAGCTCATCACGTAAAGAACTGTGGTCACCTTTACTGCAAAGGGATTTTAAAGTTGGCAGGTAGGCTACTGAATGATGATTGGTTGGTACACATACCTGTACCACTCCCATGTCGTCCTGCTACAGTATTCATGCAGGATGATGCCCCTTCCCATGGATCAAAGCATTCCACAGATTGGTCAAGAAAGTCTGGAAAGGTGACTGAATTATGATCTGGCTCCATTCATTGCCTGGCTTAACCTCTATTGAGAACTACTGGGCCTTACTGAAGTATGAGATTTACCAAGGCGGCAAGCAGTACAGCACTGAGTAGCGTCTGGGAGGCAGTCCCAGCTGCCTCAGCTAATATAGGTTGGGATCAAATCAAAAACTTGATCGAACCAATCGACAACAGGCTCATTGTCACGCCCCACTCCGTACGATCCTGATGTGTGCCATGCCCCCCTCATTACCTCGTGTGAATACCCGATTGTGATCACCTGTGTCCTGTTATGTCCGGCTAGTCTTTTGTATTTAGTCCGTGTCTCAGTTAGTTTCCCCAGATCCGTCATTGTATTGTCCGTGGATGTCTCTGTCCGTCTGTCCTGTGAGCAATAAAACCCCGTTTACCCGAAGTTCCGGCTCCATTCGCCTGCTTCCCTGCTCGCCTCCGTTGCTGAACGTGACACTCATAATGGTCATTGAGAAGAAAGTTGGCTGTACAGGACATTTAATGTGCTAAAGTGGACTGTATAGAATGGCCATTATTCCTTATATAAATTGAATAAATAGGATTGTTTTTTTATTAGTAGTAATAGTATTTCTGTTGATGCTGAAGAGAGAAAAATCAATTTAGTGTCTGATTGCCTAATAATCGTGCACACTGATAATCAAGTGCTTTTCTTTTATATGTGTTTGTGATAGACTAATGTAACATTTTCTCTCTAAAAATTCTCTTCTCAATTCACCTTTATTATTCTACCCAACTTTGCTAAAAATTATCTACAGGAATAGTACTCGCCTAATAATTCTGCATATAGTGTATTTGTTTTCTGTATCATGTCCACATTTTTCAGTGTAATTTTAATGAAAGATATCTGTCACTGTAATTATGTGATATATTTTATAATGTATGTTGACTGTAACTACTGTTTATATAATTGCGGATACATTTCTGAAATATCAAATGTCACTTGTTAGTTGTTTTATGACTGTCTGATGTTATACAGATATCTGTTATGTCTTTTGATTGCTGACATTCAGTGAACAAAAGTGAAAAATTATTATTATGTATTGTGCTTGTCAAAATGGCCAAATAAATCTTTTATATGAATATTAAATGAAATTATTTTCACTGGTATGTTGTTTGCTCTGGAAATTTGGTAGACATTTTGTGAAAATCTTTAATTTATAATGTATCAGACCTATTACTCTTAATAAGGAAATCTGCAAAACATTTGAAAAGGCTATAGCACAATCGAGTAATGCACTGGAGATGATTTATTTTGATTTATTTGTTACATTAATGTATGTTATTCCTTGTCCTTATAATGGATGTGCATGGGGAGGAAAAGGTTTAATGTACAAATTGTCCATTGTCCCTTGGGCTACGCATTCAATCTCTTCATAGTAGATAGTGTTCATAATCTGTGAAGTAAGAGAGAGATGGACCCTGTTGGAGAGGAAAAGGTTTAATATACAAAATATATGGTTTACATTTGCTTTCAGTTCTATTCTCTTACAGTCTTTGGTTACACTTGATCATTGTTTTGGTACTTTAGTGCACGTTATACCTCAGTGCTGTCGAATTAACATAAACATGCTTTCTCGGCGCCGAAGAGTGGTGACGTGTTGAATGCCGCTCCTCGCAGATTTGTCTGTTTTGCGTATATTTGCGTATATTGTCTTGTTTGTAATGTCTAGTTTTTGTCTTCTATGTCTTGTGTGTATCTTGTCTTATGTTCTGTCTGTGGGGGGGGGGGGTTTCAAGTAAGAATTTCATTGTGCTCTGTACGTTGTACTTGGTACACATGACAATAAACTTCAACTTCACTTATTGAATCTGAGCTGCACAGGTATGGCCGGCCAGGCGAATCACAGTAGTAAATCAAGCCCAGAGTATAATATTTAATTCTACATAATGTTACTCATCTGAAACTATGAAAGCAAAGAAATTGCTCCAGATAACTTACACAACAACAGTGCTCCAGGCTGTTGGTCAGGGATCAAATAACAAAGTGATTTACTGATGCAATGCACTTGTAGTGCAGTCATATTTTACATTCCTGTGTAATCTGCTTAAAAGAGATTGTACACAATGACCAGTAAACACTAAATAGGTCAGGTTTTGCCCAGAGGTGTAGTGATAGGTATACACAGGTATACAATATATACCCACCACTAAAATGTATTTACCATATATCCACCTAAAACTGTTAGAAATACGTATGTCAGAGGAGAAGTGCAATTATACGGTATAACAGGAGGGGAGACCAGGGTTGGTTGGTACTATAATAATTTCCAAAAATCCAAAATTATATGAGGTGTCTACATGAACTTCACTCATCTGTCTTGTCAAGAAATTGTAAGGCTGTACACTCCTAAGGTGGCTATCACATTTGTGTTTTTTGTTGTTAAAACAAAAAAATGACCTCATGAAAAAAATGTTTTATTTTATATGTATCAGGGTGAAATATTGGAAATAAATTAATTGTACAAATAGAGACGGGGATTAGTCAGTGCTTGAAATGGGCCGGTCTTCACGGTGAACGATAGACAAATGAAGCTTCATGAACTGTTTTCTGTATTTTCTGACCCCACTAGATGGTGCTCTTGGTTTGTGATGCTCTTTTTTGAACAGAGAGCACCATCAAGTCTGGTCAGAAAATACAGCACATAGTTTATGAGGCTTCGTTTGGCGATCATTACTCACCGGCCCGGAGTGCAGTCGCAAGGGCGCAGATTTGCTCTGGACATTGGTGGGGACCTATGACGGAGGACTCAAGGAGAGAACGTCATTTATCCCTTTCTGCGTGTCTAGGTTAATGTTGACAGCACGATTGGTTTTTTTTTTTTTTTTATTTTTTTTTTAAGTGGATTAAATTATTGGTGGGGACATTTCAATGGTCGGAGGATATTGGTGGGGACACATCCCCTCCGTCCACCCTAAATCTACGCCCCTGTGCAGTCCCTCTTTG